GGCACATGAAAATGTGGAAAAAAATGTGCATGCAGAGTATCCTCTGTCTGTACTGTTCTTGTCAGACAGGGCCAGCAAAGCGTTAGGAGCAGTTTACTTCCATTTCCCATGATGCAATTTGGTCTCCGAGTTGCCCCTAACAAAGATGGCCGAGAAGGACACACCAGGAGTGCAAAGAGAGCCGCGCCCTTGTGGCTGCCCCCCACCCTCCCAAAACCATGGCTGTGTTTATCATTCATAAGTGCGTGTGGGGCATCAGTGAAAGACTGGCTTATCACGATTGATGGTGTGGTTTAGATGCAGAAACCCAACCAGGAGATAAATGAAAGGAAATTATGCCTCCCCATCAGACATGGCTGGAGTAAGGGAACGCAAAGACCAGGAGCAGCACATGGATGCAAATATTAGAATCCCCTGGCAGTCTTTCAACACTACTTACATACATCAACAAGCCAACTATTATTTAAAACTGACAACACATGGAAACATCGTAGCTCTCATTGCCTTTAACCATGTCGACCTCCAAGGTATTCAGCTGAACTCTGAGGATTCGTTTTGTAGCTCCGTAACAGCATTTTTCCTTCAGGTAGGACTCACCTCGATGATCTTCTCCCTGTTCTTGGTGGGGTTCATGGGTGGCTCTGTGAGGAGGATCTTGCAGTTGCGCGACTCGATGTTGAGCTTCTCGGGTCCGAAGGTGTAGTCCCACAGGTGCTTCATGTCGTCCCAGTTCCGCACGATGCCGTTCTCCATGGGGTAGTTCACCTCCAGCATGGACCGCAGCTCACTCGCCTCATCCCCCACCATCAAGTCCTGGGGGGCGTCACAGGTCAGATGTCACCTTGAGCAATCCACTTCACCCCAACTGCTCCAAGAGCACCAGACAAACGGTCTCAATATGCCACAGAAGAGCAAGATGGGAAATGCGAAGACTGAAATTTCATTGGACTTGCTCCTTGTAAAATGACAAAGACATTCTTGATCTCTGTTAAACGGCCATTTCACATGTTCACCCATCGTCATTAAAGAGCAAACGCCGGTCACTGTTTTCCTGTAACAGCCACAGCTTGGCTACTCTGGACGAGCTGTCAGGACTGTTAGAGGATGACAATGGAGGGGTGGAGTCATGCTTTCATTCGTAAGAACGGTTACCTTGTTGCCATGTTGTAGGCGACACTGGTGAGAAGTAAAGTGTCCAACCAGGAATGTTTGGATACTACAAATGGAGACGTGAGCAGTACGGCTACCATAGTATGCAGAAACTGTTGTTTTTCTCCTCTGAGGTCACGGCAGACACATATAGTCCACCCACATCAAATCTGGCAAACTTTTGCTCGACAGAGATGTAAACAGCGTAGCAGTCCACACTGCCAGTGGGCATCACTGTGCCAGATTGCCTGGTAATAGGACTGGCTGGCAGGACAGGTACTTCCCTGTGCCCAGTTACCCTCTTTGCCTTGCTCTCTGCTGAGGTGACAACAGGGCCATCCCAGGCCCCTGACGAGCGAACAAGAGCAGATCACACAGCCCAGCATGCGGCCCATGCACTGTTAGTAGTAGTTTCCAAAACGTCGTCACTCCTTTGCAGTTTTGGGATGCAGTTAATTCCCTCCCACACACCCACCCAGTTGCACCTCACTTACACATTTCACATCCAATCGTACCTTAAAAAGCACTCTGCGACCCCCCCCCCCCCTCGTGTCTGAAATGTATGACTAACTGTGTACACCTCATCAAGTGGTTCAGTAGTTCTCAAAGCCCTCAGCCCCCCCCCCAAAAGATATTCCACATTTTTGCTCTGTCCAAACATTTACACACTTGATCTGACTTGCTGACTGATTGCCAAGCTATTCCATGCTCAGGAATGCAGGGAATGGACTCAAACAAAAATGCAGACTGGCTGAGGACGGGGACTGAGGACAGGGACTGAGGACAGGGACTGAGGACAGGGACTGAGGACAGGGACTGAGGACAGGGACTGAGGACAGGGACTGAGGACAGGGACTGAGGACCACTCATCTACTAAACTCCTGATGGTTACTTTCAAAGCTGAAGCTCTGCACCCTGAGCTGCATAGTGACTATGATACGGGAAATCCACACCTGGATGTCCATTTTCCAAGTTATAAATGTTTAACATCAGCAACTACTAACACAGAGTTAAAATAATCATCTTTTCACAATGAACATACTTCAAATTCCCGTTTCAGTGTGATAAAGATGAAAGGTAAAAATATCCATGTACTTTATCAAATTTAGCCTGGACTTAAGTTCCTATCTAGGCAAGGACACCAGATTATATTAACCAGATTGATTCAACTTGTTTAAAATGCAGTCAGTCATTGATAAAAAGAAATTAGAGGACATCGAACCAGCCTTACACTGGTTTCTGTCCAATTAACATTTCAGATTATTGCGTTATTGGTTTTTACTGCCCAGAGCACTAGTTCATCAGTTACCGAAGACATTTTATTTTTGAGTCCCCTTAAATTTAACTACTTCATTTTCCCTCAACTTACCAACCCTGTATTACTAACTCATTCACATCCAAAGAACATCTTTGTGTTTTTAATCAACCATGTGCCGCCGTTTCTGTTTTCCATTTGCTATAATGCCTCTGCAGCATCTGAAACTTTACAATCCCCTAAAATGCTACATAATTAACAATACCCTTAATAATCCATGCGTCTGCCGCAGTACTAGACACGAGGCAGATCTGCCACCGCTATTATTATTTGCATACCTTCCCTCGATCATCAACTTCCACACTCGTCTCGGCTTCCACAAAGCCAAATTAAGGCACCGAATAAGGGATCGTGTAACTCTGACATGTCTCTTCTCCCTGGATACAAGGCCTACGCCACTGCTGGCTGTGCCCCCCCACCCCCCCCAACAGAGTGTCAATCCTCCCACAAGTCCAGGGTTAAGTAAAGTTCAGCCAGGCCCAAAAAAATAACACTGCAAAACCCAAAATACAGTTTGACAGTTAGGGACAGATGGCATTCTCTAGTCAAGACAAATTTTGCACACAGTAAAATAAAGGCATCATTTTAATAAAAGGAAAACAGAAGAAGAGTCTTATTAAAGCCAGGCAGACAGGGGAGAGGGTGGAGGCCACACACACATTCACAGAACAATTCACACTTACCATCTTTTTGCTATTCTACCTCAAACAGAGACAGAGACAGAGACAGAGAAGGCAAACAGATGTCACGGACGAGGCAGGGAGTGGGAAACGAAGCAGTGACGTGACCCAGCACAGCCTGGGTTGGAATCCCACAACAGAAACTTCTGCTGTATCATTTAATATCAGTCACACAGCTGTACATATGGGTCTTTTTAAAAGCCGTGTAAGCAGTTTTGAGATAAAAGTGATTGGAACACAAATAGCACAAGTATGGGAATTCTGTATTCCTCTCCACTTAGCATTAAGGGCGAAACGGCATCACTGGAATTGCCTTGGAACTGCCCACATCTGGCGCAATGGGAGTATATTATTCCCCGAAGCACCATACTTGTCTGCCCAAGTCTCGTTACAATTGGAAGTACGACACCAAAAAAAAACAAGGGACGTTTAATAATCCAGAATGTTTCAGAAAGGCCAACCTGAGTCAGGGAAGCTATTAAGATGAAGAGCAGCACTACAATGATCTGAAATCACTAGGCAGGCGCCTCCCAATGCTGAACCTTACGGTTTGTTTGGTTTTGAGCGATTCCCTTTTTCCCTGGAGCCTGTCTGCTTGGTAACTGTTGCTGAGATGAGGAAGCGAAAGGAAGCTGAGCTCCTTGGCTTATTGGGCAGCCGGCTCTGTTTGAAGTGGAGACCTGGCAGTTACCTGATAATGTTGCTACACTACATGCTTTTTTCTGTTTGTTAACCCATTTCCTTCTCATTCTTCTTCCCACACACAGGTCAGCTTTGATATAATGAAGCTGGGTGTGAAAACCTGCCTGATCCAGTCAATTACCCATTTGTACACTATGGAGTTGCATACACACCTTCTGAATGACCTGCTTAGATTAGAGCCCTTCTTATAGGCTGCAGTCTTGGCTAACAAAGTGCAGATTCTCTGCTTTCATTTCTTAAACCCTACAGCCAAAAATGTACGGCACAGTAGTTATTTACAGTTGCATGAACGTGTCATTCACAGTCAAGGCACCAAAGTGAAGCTCTAATAATATCTGATGGCAATACTTGAGTTCTGGAGGAACATTCTGGAAGTCATGGATTTGCCACATCAAAGGGGAAAAAAAAACAAGAATACCAAAAAAAAATTAAGTAGCCAAGACAAGTAGCAGGCGACTACACGTAGGGGGCGCTGTACCTTGATCTCGATGTTGCCCACTTTGGCTGTAGAGCGGATGATGGGTCGTCCCACCAGGGCTGGGAAGATGTGCTCGGGGAAGTTGGAGCCAGCATAGCCACACTTCACAAACTGGGGGGGGGGGTGGGGAGCGATGGGCATTGGTGTTAACAGGAAATATTATAAACACCTGGACATGCATCTGGGAGGCCTTGGCATTAAGGATAACCACAGAAGAACGAACATAAGCCTCAGGAAAGGCCATAAACATATCACCTTTACGGACATCACTGTAACCTGTTTTAGCCTAAACACAGAAACATTTAAACTATGATAATGACCAGAAAGGTCTTACCTAGCTGCTGAAAGTTAAGGTTAAAGATAGTGATTCATCTCAGACATGACAAACAAGAACTCTACTGTCAGGCTGGATCAGTGTAGACGGCCAACACGGCAGCACCCCCATCCATTCATGCTGACACTTCAGTATATTCTAACAAGATTTTTTTAAAAAGTCAATAAGAAGCTCAGCTCCCACCCCAAGTAAGAAATCAGATACCCAACGTAGGACTGACCCCGGCATCAAGGAAAACTAGAAATATGTCTGTGTTAATACACTTCTCCTTGTTCTGAGTCAAAGACATAGAGTAAGAAGTTTTCAGTGGACTTGTCAAGAAACTCCTTTTACTGGAAGTACCTAGTTATTGTCTTACTGTCCCATTAGAGAGCCACTGATGCCAAAAATTCCAGGAATTGAGCTGATTATCCAAATCAATAACCAATGATAAGTAAAGTTTGAAGTAGCAACCGTTTTATATTATGGGCCAAAAAGGAAATGTTTTCATTTACCTTAATTTACAGTAGGAGAAATGCATCAACTGGAATCAGATCAGGACTAGGACCAATTTTTGTGGTAATTAGATAATTAATTATGAGCTTGTCTGGATTGAGAAACAGCATGTCTAGTGTCCCAGAATGGGGTTTGGGGATAGTCTTCAGCATCCCACCTCAACAAGGTAAGAAAGTCTCCAACCAAATTGCTCAGGTTCTTTTATACGGAAAGGCAAACTTTCATAGTCAATAACCAGGACAAGCACTTGGGGACCTGCGGGCGGAAGCTACCAGTATATTCAGCGGAAGGGGTAAAAAAAAAAAAAAGAAAAGTAGTGACTCCATGATTTTAAAAATTAAACAATAATCATCACATTTTAAACATAAGTGTTGATTGTTTTCTAGCAACGTTTTAACGTGTGCATTTAGTTAAAGGGTAGTCTCGGGTCTAACCATGTGACATTCTTACTTATGTCAATGCCGGAAGCAGTCGGTAAAATAGTATATGCACTTTAATGCAATACCGTAATACGGTCCACCGGTACGATCACTATATCTTTAAATATTAAAACCATTTTAAACATCGGAAGATAATAATAGACTATAGCAGCAAAAAGAAAATAACCCACTGGCCAGCCAGTGTCGTAGCAAGATTTTAAACTGAGCGCCTGCACAGATGCTGACGGCAGCGGAGGGACGTCCTGTCGAGTTCAAGCAGGACGCAGCAAGCATAGCAGCTGGGCGGATCCTTACTACCATCCGATGCACTGTCCTGATCGACAAGCTATTTGGTAGGTATTACTTCTTTCCCCCATTCAGCCGAGTAAAGTTTTTCAGTTGTAGAATATGTCTAGTAATGAAAGAAGCACGCTAGGTGTTGCAAGGATACTGATCATTCTGAGGCACTAAAATTTCTTTTGTTTCCTTTTACCTGCTAACATGGAGCTCTGTGAGAAGCTGTTGGCTGAGCAGAGCTTTGCAAGCAATGACTACACTAGAAGAGAATGCAGAGTGCGAGAGCGAACTAGTGCTGCAAGAAGGCAGTGGATTCACTGCATTGCCGCGCGATGGAAATTATATTATGGGTTTCCTAAATATCATACATTGTGTGCTCCCATCTAGAGCCACGTAATGTACTTAATGGCTTTGGAGAATATGACAAGCTGACAGAGACACATTCCTTTGCCTACCCACCCATTTAGGCACTTTCTACTTCCTGTTTCAGGCTAATCTATCCTCGCAATATATATTATTTACAACTCCGATAAACAAAACTTTACGACAAAATGCAATTTGGCCTTAGACATACCCCGGTTCCATTGTCACAAACCACCACTTTCCTTCCTTTATTGTCCATTTTTCAGAACCCAGAACCAGCAGACCACTCCTGCTTAACTTTCTTCTGCAAGCCGGAAATCGCCGCTCCAGCACCCGCAAAGGGTTTCTTCCGGTATATCTGACACGTGATCTCACCTCCCACCTATACGGCGGCGCACGGAAGTAATGCATCCCCCAATTAGACGCCACGCACACAGGTCACGTTTATAGCGGCGCCTTCCATTTGACACGCGATTTGAATGACAGCCAGAATAATCCAATCATAACGTGGGCCTCATGTTATCCTACGTGCTTCTTTGAATGAGCAAAAAAAAAATATATATAGGTAGGTGTCTGGTCGGGGAAGCTTGGGTTGTGCTAGATATTATTTGGGCTTTTAAAGAATTACGTTGTCTGTTTTGCCCCACTTGTTCTTTAAACGGTGCTGCTTATTGCAGTTTGACGTGATTTACAGTATTCGTTTTCAGTCTTGGTGCAAATTGTAAATTATGATTTTCGTCCAGGTCAGGCCAGGACATAATTTACAATTATGCTTCATCGAATAGCTGCTTTAAATGTGAATCAGTTATCCACAACAGCTTAAAAACAATTTAAGTGCATTAGTCGAGGTGCTTCAATACCAAGATTATTCACAAAGCATTATAAATACTCCCTGACTGACTCATTTGTGTTATTTCATACACGTTATATATAGGCCCTGCAGATAAGGCTGTTTCAGTCAGCTAGCAATATGCAATGTCTTCAACACACGTGACGCCCCCAAGTTTAGAAATGCACGTATATATTTATTTGGAAATTTGCTTTGAAATCAGATTTTATAAATATGAACTGTACACATTTAATTAAAATTTAAAAGTCCAAATGAGTTTAATGTATTTTAAAGTAATTGCCTTGCCATAGCCAAACATGATTCTTTAACTTAAACCCATACCGTTGCATAAATATTTCTGCACAGTAGTTAATGGACTTTTAACGATATACAGAAGGGATGGCAGCGATAGGTACGTGGCCTTTCTCTCAGTCTGCGGTGGAGAAGATGCAGCGGATGATATCGGCCGGAGAGCATGCCACCGACGCTGTAGAAGAGGCTATGGCAGGTGGGTCGAAGCCCTCCCTTCGTAGGGGTAAAGCTACGTTTCTGGGGTTTCGTATCGCAAACTTTTAAGCCTGGGAACGGGCGGGACCCTGACCACGTCAGCAACCACATGGGTAAAGTAATATAGCAAATAGTCTTGATATAGCAAAAACGCTTTCGGCCAGAGGTGGAGGATAACCTGGAGACCGGGCGCTTCGTCGTGGGACGAGGCGGTTTCCCGAACAGTGCCGGTGTGTTGGAGTGCGACGCAGCAATCATGGAGGGCCAGCCTGGGCGTTTTGGTGCAGTCGCGGCTTTGCGAGGGTAAAACACCATGCATATGCATTATGTCTAGACTCATTAACATTCTTATATTTCTTGTTAATTGCTTCACACTATAGTAGAAAAGATTTTTGTCAGATGATTATTATGAAAACTGATTGAGCTATTATATGTAATGTTCATGTATGTCAATGAATTAAATAGTTCACGAGTTAACACCTGGCCCATTTATGCAGCTAGCAGTTTTTAAAAGCAAATTATGTTAAATACTTTGCCAAAGGGTTCTTTAGCAGTAATCTCCAGGGATGTGAACGGGCGTCTGCAATTGGTGACGATCGTGTGGTGTGTGCGCGCGCCAGAGTGGGGACCCCCATCCGCGTGGCACGCCGGGTGTTGGATGGCAGCCCACACAGCATGCTGGTCGGGGAGGGAGCCTCAGCATTCGCCCAGGACCAAGGATTTTCCCTGGACCCCGACAGTCGCATGCTGAGCGCGCCCACAGCCGCCGCCTACCTGGTGCGTTAGTGTTTGCACTTAAGTGCAGACCAAGTTTTACACACCATCCTAACATAATTAATAATGACACAAAAGCAACAGCAAGACGTCTCCTGATAACAGCACGCATGAACCCACTTGCATTCAAGTGTTCTTCAAACACATTCAATGGGGTGACGCTAATTTGTATAAAATTTCTCAGGTTGAACGATGCCGTGTATCTGATGCAGTAAAATTCCCTGCGTGCTTTTGTTTGTAACCTGGTGTTTTGCTCGTTTCCACATGAGGAAATAAAGGATAAAAATAGGTTATGAGACGGTGGAATATTTTGGGACATCATTAAATGTGCTTTTAATAGGCACTAATAGAGAAATTAGTTTTCACACAGCAGCATTTAATAAAGTATTTTCTTCCGAATACAGTTTATGCGGTGAGAGAAAGGTAATAAACACTCGGACAGAGGGTTGTCAGTTTGCAGAGAATAAAGAAGTATATCTTGTATAGTTGTATGAAACAGAGCCTCTGATCCATTATTTTTATTGCTTCTAGGAATTTCTTCAAAAGCAGAAAAGCGTCCCTGGACATGACACTCTGGGTGAGAACGTAATCAGTATAATTGCATCTGTTCCTTCTTGTCCTGGAGGTGCTTGTCGCAGTTTTTCCACAGCTGGACTTAACTGAATAAGAGCTCACGTGCGGTAAAGCCTGTTTTTCACACGAGGGCGCTGCATGCATTTCTGACGCAGAA